CGCCCAATTTCCATAGCATTATGAGTCTACGATAAATGTTACGTTAGATAAATATTATTTATTGCAGTAAAATATATGTTATAGTTATTAATAATAATTAATAATTAACAACTATATATTATATATGWATATTATAATAATAGCTTATTGCAATACCATTTCTGTGATAAACTCAATAACTAGATCTTCAAGTATGTCAACACTTTCAGTGTATGGATTTTCATCATCACCAAAACCATACATCATGCAACGCAATTCCTTTGAGAAAAGTCGTTTTCTACCAGCTTTTGTGAATGATTGACTTTCTACTTGTTGTTCTTCTTCATCAAACTAAAATCAAGTAGGTAATTTATTAATAAAAATTGTGAATCCTACATTTATACATAAATGCAATCAGTTAGTTCATTTTTTATGACATCAAAAATGTATCTTAGCTAAGATGCTAAGAATAATTTAAAGGTCCCTATGAATACAAAAATATATATAAAACATCTTCAAGTATTTAATATGCTTGTCCATTAATTAAATAGCAATTTTTTTTCTTTTCAAATAAAAATAAACAATTACAATTACAATTCAATGATTTTATTTTGAAAATTTGAAATCAAAACTTTTATGAACAGTTTCTAAGTTTTTTTTTTAGTTTTTAGCAGTTTCTAAGTAATTACTACTTATTTAACTTTGTTTACTAATGATAATAATTCATAATAATATGTTTGGAAAATATGGGGACTGTTGATTTTAATATTAATATTAATAGATTAATAAGTAATATTATACTAAAAATTAAATATTAGGTACAATACCTATTAGAGTATTAGGTATATAATATTACTTATAAAAATTACTAAGAAATTTATTTAGTACTCACATTTATTAATACAATTATACACAAAACTATTTCTTCTAATTTAAATTTAGATATATCAACATTTTCACAAAAATTATCTGCTTAATTTAGTAATTTAGAGTAATAACAATAGGACACTTTATTTTAATAGTAAATAAATCTAATTGATTCAAAATATTATAATTCATACGTTTACATATTGCAGTTAATAATTCACAAATAGAAAATTACATTTTTATTATGTATGAAAATATTATTGATGCTTATATAATAATGTAAATCAATAACTTTACCATGGAAACTGATTCAACATGTTTATAGGTTTTCCTTATTTTATTTTTTTTAGTATTTYAGTTTTTTTAAATATAATTTTTTTAAATTAAATTGATTTTATACAGCTTTTTATAAATATATCTATGATAATGGGAGAAAAAATAGTACCACTGGAGATGAATTTAGTGCGCTACAGTAACCCAGTAGCAGTCACAGATCGCGAAGAAA